AGTTGATCGCATGTGCGTAGCCATGTTCTTTGTGAATCTAATCTTTAACATGATCAGATCCATTGATTTCAAAGCTAAAACAGAGTTCTGGTTTTCAATATACATGGAAGAGCTGGCAGCATTCTGAAAGACTATTGCTGGAAATTTCAATTGTAATCATTAAGGTAGCTGTTTTGATAGTTTAGATCAAGTTTGCTTATCACTCCATAGTTGAGTCTTATTCATTTTTGTTTAAACATGATTTAGTAATCGATGGTTCATAGTCTGTTATTACTGCCAAATAGACATGGAATTTTGATGTAAACAGATTTTGCTGTATAAAGTATGCTTGTAAAAGTGTGATTTTGGTTTAGTTACTTTTAGTAGTGACTGAATATGTAATAGCGTGTTTTCTCTATTGTATTCCATGCTATGGGTCTAGAACATGAAAGGCTCATCCTAATAGGAATTGGATCAAACGTTGTGGGCCTCAATTTTGGCCCAATTACCTCTCACATGGTTGAATTAGGGTCCAGCTTTGTTGCCCAACCCGTATCTGCATGAAAGCATGTATAAATAATTGGTTATTCCTTTCAGATCTCATAGGTTAGAAGCATGAGTTGGATACTAATGTTTCTTTGTGTTATCATGTGTTAAATCTGTTAATTTGGTTCCATGATCAATGTTTTATTCAAGTCCCCACATGCTATATTTTCGGAATCAGTATTAACCTGTGCATAAGAGGTGAATTGGGCCAGACTTATAAACGGCCCAAATAGGGTTGTGCATATGAGTCTGGGTATTTCAGGACATGAGCCATAGAGTACAACCCAATGAAATTCACATGGACCAACGTTTGCTAGCACTTTTATTTTATTTAAAATTGTTCGGCAAGTCATTTATAAAACAAACGGCATTTTCCAGTTTCTTTTTGAACTCAGTAGCTAGATCAGGTTTGAACATATGGCATTAGAATCAATGAGATTTAGCAACAGAGATTTAGTGATCCCTAACAGTCAAGCGAACCCGATATGCCCTGAGTTAGATTCTTGATTTCTGGCAAATATCTTAAACTAGTATTAAGGAAACGAACCTTGAACATTCGTAGTTTATTTTAGGCGTGTTTATAATAAATTATCATAACTATGGTACAGTTCCCGTGACGTAGTTGTGATACATAATACCAAAAATCCGGATGCACATTTAATGTGACACGGCTACAACTTCAAATCAATCAATAATAAAATACACGTGTTGTGGATTGTGGGTACGGTTCCCGTGACACGATTCACAGCATGTACAAAAACAAACAAGTGTACGACAATCGTAACTTGTTCCAGAAATAATTTCATAAATAATTTAAAGGCGGTTAAAAGCTAAAAATGCACAATAGGTATAAAACATGTTATTAATCAGATATTTAGGCCAATTAATAATAGTTGAGCGACCGTGCTAAAACCACGAAACCCGAAAATGCCTAACACCTTCTCCTGGGTTAACAGAATTTCTTACCAGGATTTCTGCGTTTTCCGAACTGTAAAACAGAGTCAAACTTCCTCGATTTGGGATTTTAAACCGATGACTTGGGACACCATAAATTATCCTAAGTGGCGACTCTGAATTTGAATAAATAATTTCGTTTCGATTATTGTCACTTTGATTGGAAAAACTCCATATACCCTTTCGGGTAAAAAAGGAGGTGTGACAGCTCTGGCGACTCTGCTGGGGAACAAGAAGCCAGAATCTCTGGTTCAGGGTTCAAGAATTCGAGCTTAGAATAACTGCTATACTTGGCTTTTATTTATTATCTGCTTTTTGTTACATGTTTGAGCCTAATGTGCTAAATGCCGCTGTTTACTGCTTTAATATTGTTTGAATTGTATATAAATTGTTACGAAACCCTTCTTCTCTATGAGTCTTCTAAATCTTCTGGGAAGTGCACGTTGGCGTGACTTCTTTTCTGTTAGAGTCATACCCTAATTTAGAAACAAGATCAGATCAGTTACAAAGCCGGATGGCCTTTTGATTACCGGTACTTTGCCCCCCCCCCCCCCTCCTTCGGCTCGAGTTGTCCGCTCGGGTAAGCCAGGTCTAGAACAATACACCTAGGATTTAAACCAAGAATAACATAGCCTCGTGTCGGATCCCTAGTAGGAACGCTTGTTTCCATCACGTGCATCTGACTTTGGGGACTCAGCACAGGGGTTGGGTCCGTCTAGGACAGGTGTACCCGAAATTAAAAGACCATTCTGACTTGGGACACCATAAGTTATCCCAAGTGGCGACTCTGAATTTGAATAAATAATCTCATTTTGATTATTGTCACTTTAATTGAAAAAACTCCATATACCCTTTCAGGTAAAAAAAGGAGGTATGACAACCTCTAGCATATTATTTTCAATTTCGTGTTAGTAATAAAGGTTCATACTAATAAGAAAAATTGAAACTTACAAAAAGTAACTAACTACTAATTGAAAGCTATATCTACGTTATGTGAATTTGAGATGTTTGTGGTGAAACATAAATTTGAGATATTTGTCATATTAAATTTTTTCTAATTATATCCCAGTTATCTCGCATTACGTGGATGTTGCCGCTATTTTTTTAATATTGAGAATATTAGAAGATCCTCGTTTTTATTATTTTTATATATTTTAAATTATTTTGTAAAGTTGATAAATATCTTTTATGACCGCGCAAAGCGAGGGTAAGTTTACTAGTTAAAGTTATATCGGCATTGGATAAAATTGTGCAAAGTGTAGTACTTCTATCTTTCAAATGCAACAAAATTCAAATTTAAAGTAGTTCAATCCAAAGGCGGATCTAGAATTTTTAGTATATGGGTGCACTACTAAAAAAATGAGGAATAAATGTATTAAATGTGAATTGATCCTTATCCCTCAGGTTAATAACTTAGCCTTTAACCAAGTGCACCATTCAACCTTCTTGGAGCATGGGTGCCAACAGTTAATATTATACAAATTTTAGAAAATATGTACATAAAATATCTAATTTTTCTAATAAAATCATGGGTTCACGTGTCCCATAATTTTGCCTATAAATCCGGCCCTAGTTCAATCTCTTCAATGCAACTTCAAAAAATTTCAAATGCAACTATACAGAAATTCGAATCTTAAGTGGTTCAATCTATTGAATGCAACTTCATATTTCGAATCTTAAGTTCTGAAACATAAATTTATTCTTCGAATTTCAAAAATATACATGATTCAATGCACAAATCTACTCCAAATGAGTTTAAATTTTGAAACACAACTTTCAAATATCATAAAGAACAAATTTTAATCATCAAATTGTCAAAACAACAAATTTAATAAATCCATTTTGCAAGAAGAAGAAGAAGAGGAAGAAGAAGAAGAAGAAGAAGAAGAAGAAGAAGAAACTCTAAGCACAAAGAAAAAGAAAAGAACATTAAAGAAGAAGAGAAAAGTGTATGTATCTGAAGTTATCCAGAATTTAGGTATCAGTTAAACTTTTTCTAAAAGTAGATACAAATTCAATAGATGACGCAAAACTGGGTGCCACATGAAAATTATGCGACTTCAACATTTCCATGTTTTGGGCACCTTATTTGGTAAAAACTGAAAAACAGATCCAAACGATGTCACAAAACTATTCAATTTATATCTTGACGAATTTGATGAATTCTTGACAAACCAAATCCAAGGTTTTCGATTATGTGATAATTTATGCTGGCTACTGATATTTGTTTAAATTGGAAGTTATTGCAAATGATTGAAAATATTTTAAAAATTTATATCAATTTTGAGGGAATATGGTGAAGATTCAAATTGGTTTTAGTTGGAATTTCATATTAAAACTGGAAAAAGAAGACATAAATAAATTTTATATATTTTGTATGCCGGGTGTACAAACAACATCTAACATATATATATAACTAACATAAAATTGTATACAAGTTATGTAAAGTGTTGCTTTTTGACCGAATTATGCACAACAAAAAATTATATACAAGTTACATATATATTTGTTGTATGTAAATTGTAACTTTTGATCAGATTCTATAAAATATATATATATATATATATATATATATATATATATATATACAAGTTATATATAATTATAGCTTTTGATTCAATTTATATGTGTCTTGTAAATACTCTAGTTACTTTTGTAAATAGGAAAATCTAACTAGACTGAGTAAATATTATCCTACTTTTGAATAAATATAAAAAATTCCATTTATCATTTTATCGGGCAACCCCAACTACGTACCTACCTTTGATTAAATGTTCGCATGTGGCCTAATAATTTGCTTTTGCAATCTCTCTGTACAATCTAGTATTCCCTCCTCCCATTTTATGTGATGCGGTTTAATTGAATACAGAGTATAATAAAAATTAAAAAAAAAACTTTTGAATTTGTGATTTTAAAAAAGCATTAAATATTTATATAGCTATATCATCTTATTATAAGGCTTGAAAACAAGGGTGCGTTGGTATTTATTTTTGTTTAAAAAGAAAGTATTAGAAATTAGTTATTTTGTTGAATGAAAGAAAATACTTTTTCTACGTCATAAAAAGAATACACTTATTTTGTTGAAATAAAAAAGAAAGTACTCCATTCTATCTACAACTTGAAAAAAAGTACTCTTAATAATATTTTAATTTAGGATGGGTGGGGGACTATACTGGGCATGTTGTTGTTGTTGTTGTAGGGAGGGTAGTGGACGAGGTTGAGGTGGGTGGGGTGTGGTGGTGTAGGGGTGGCTCGGTTGGGTTTATGGGGGTTGGGAATAGATTGTAGAAGGTTGAAAAAAAGTTTTGGAAAATATTTTTTCTTTTTTTAATAGGGAAAATATTTTCCTCCAATGAATTCATGAGAAAAATATTTTTCAAAACATTTAAGCCAATCAAACATGAAAAAATTGGGAATATCAATTCGTCCCTTATTTATTACTTATCTCCCAACTTTCCCCTACCTTTTAATGATATGTACTTTTTTATTAAGCTTTAACATTAGCTTATTTACTCTTCTAATTTATAAATTCACTCCCTTTTCTTCCTTTTTGGCACCTTCTCCCCCTCCCACAAAATATTGTCTTCATTCTCTACTCCTTACCATTTCTGTCTTTAATTAATTATTCTCTATCATGGCATCAATGGACGTCGAGAAATTAATCTCCGACGTAAAGTTAACGTCCGTCGTACCAGCGAAAATCACCGGAGCGGATAAAGTTCATGAACTTACTAACATGGACTTAGTCATGAAGTTGCATTACATTAAGGGTCTTTATTTTTTCAACAGTGATGCAGTTGAAGGTTTGAATATAAATGACTTTAAAAAACCCATGTTTCATTTTCTTGAGCTATATTATGAGACTTCCGGCAGGATTAGGAGGTCGGAGGACGGCGGTGGCCGGCCGTTCATAAAGTGTAATGACGGTGGTGTTAGGATTATCGAAGCTAAGAGTAGCAAAACAATTGAGGAGTGGCTGGCTATGAATGATTCTTCTGTTAATGATCAGCTTGTTTATGATCAAGTTCTTGGTCCTGAGTTGGGCTTTGCACCTCTTGTGTTCATTCAGGTAACTAAGTTTTTTTCCTCTTCTAAACTAATTCTTACGAGGATTTAAGTTATATATATCGACGCTTTTATTAAATTTTACATTATTAGTATAAGTAGTTTTTTACGATTCATTCTAGGTTAACTCAATGCTTTTTAAATAGAGTTAATTGTAATTACATTTTTAAGTGACTTGATTGCATAAATTTTTTTTACAGCATCAAGCGCATAAAACTTAAATTCTTCTAATAATATATTGGGTTTTTTAAGATTTTAAGGTGGTTAAAGAGACAAAATTTTGCTTTAAAGAATATTCCCTGTGATCGCTATGTATATCTCTGTGTGCGCGCAGAGCCAGTGTAAACTTTTGTTATCGGGTTCGTCTAAACTTAACATTTTTGACGCAATAGATAAATTTATATATAAAAATTTATTGACATTATAATAAACAATAATAAAATTATAATTTTAAAAATACAATGGGTTCGATATTGCACTTAAATTAGGAGTGTACATAGGTCGGATTGGTTCAGGTTTTTCAATTACCAACCAAACCAATTATGTCGGATTATTAAATCTAAAGACCAAACCAAACCAATAAAAATCGGGTTTTTTAATTTCGGGTTTTTCGGATTTTCGGGTTATTTCGGGTTTTTTTTTTCATAAAGTTTTCATTGCACAAAACATAGAATTTGTGCTCCAAATATTTCTTTGATCCTAGTAAGACATAACTATATAACGTGTTTTTCAAGAAAATAACATCAAGTATGAGATGAGCTATGGCATTGTACTAAAATATTCAATAATAAAGATAATAAAATCCCATAAAATAAATATTATTAATATGCCATAATAAAAATAAACATAATCCAAAATTACTAAGTTGCTAAAATAAGTACGACTAACAACAATACTTTTACATGACTAAACACTATAAAAAAATAAGTTGTGCATTTTATCTAAACCATGGAAAAACTAAAAAAATAGATATCCAACACTATTGTCATTCCTAGTACAATTTAATTGAATGTCTTTTATTAGTATTAATATCGACTATAAAACTTATTGTAGCATTCTCGAATTATAAGTCCAAGTTTAAAATAATACATTAAAGTATAAAACTATGAAAATGTTTAAGAAATATTTATAAACTACACAACAGTAAAATATTTTTATTTATTAAATATATTTAAAACTTCTATACATGTAATGTCGTGTTGGTTTGGTTTGACTTTTTTTTAGTTAAAACTAAACCAACCCAATTATAGTCGGGTTTTTTTTCCAACACCAAACCAAATCAAACCAAACTATAGTCGAATTTTTTTTCTCGATTTGATTCGGATATCAGTTTATTGCGGTTTGACCTTTGGACACCCCTAACTTAAATTATGTATCCGCCTGTGACTACGTGTGTGTGAATCAGCTGGTCTGGTATACAACGGAAAGTTGCATGCAGTTATTAATGATAATGAACGCAAGCTTGAATTAAGGTCCCGTGATCAGATGACCTAGTTGTGACTGTATGGAGGAGGTCCGTCGAATTTATTTCATGAACTGCTGTACTATATTTAATTCTCTAGATTTACAGTTGTCAGTTAGCTTTGCATGTTGATCATTAATTAAATACGAATATTCTAGATTCTGCACTAGTTGAAAGTGTTAGATTGAGAAATAATAATAATAATAATAATAATAATAATAATAATAATAATAATAATAATAATAATAATTGAAGAAGGTATACTTTTAATGATAAATGTTTTTTCTAATATAAACAATTTGCAATTAACGGAACACTCTCTTATCCTCACTGTGCAATGGCGCTTGCTAGCTAGCTATTTGATTTTACTTTTTATATTCAATTCAATTGCTATACTAATTTTTTTTTTACACTCTAAAATAAAGTATTATTCAGAGATATATAGTAAACGAAGTACACTTTAAAGATGTGAAGTAGGATCGACAGATAGAGACTAGACTTCTATTTTATTGATGATTAAGTGGTGGATTTTATCGTTTTCTATATTATTTTATTCATATAATTAGCAAAATATTTTGACGAAGCGGTGTCACGTGACACCGCTTAGACCTTAGTGCATCCGCCCCTGTCAATGAAAGAAAGAGTCCTTTAAAAGAGGGATCAAACTCACCATGGTTATAAAATATTAAATTATAGGAAATTAAATTATGTGCGAGCAAAATGTCAATAGCTTTCATATAAAACCATGAATAAACGTTGGATTACTATAAGTAACATTTGCTGATGGTATTATGACACATAATTTCCTATTCTAGAGAGTAGGTATCTTTCCTAATACAGATGGGACGTTATTAACTTCGTATAGGAGTATTTATTAGTGAAGATGAAACTCAAATTTAATTTTGTTAGTCTTCGCCCTTGCCCCTTGGCAACCAGCTTGAAGTTTGGTGGGTGCGAAATTGACCACGACATGATTTAGCTTTTTAATTTATTTATTTTTACGATCATGGTGTCCGGGCTAGTTTGAGCATACCTCGACTAATTTCACGGGATACATGTCACCTCTCCCGTAACAGATACCAGATAACTCTATCCACCAAGGTTTTGATAGATGAGAAGAAATCACCTAATTTTTTTTATCTCCACTGGAACCTAAGACCACTTCATTGGCCATTAGGCTACATCCTCGAATGTCTTTATAATTTTATCTCATATAAAAATCAAGAATTGACTCTTGTTGTCTCTAGATAAGCCCTGTATTTCTTGAAGTACCAAAAGTAACAAGTCTCCTTCTTTTTTATTTTATTTTTTAATATCAATATTTTTTTTAAATTTTTTGTAAGTAGTTCATTAATATATGACCAACCCTACATTGAAATATGGCCCTTAGTTTTAATTTGGTACGGGGAAAAAAGTAGTTGGATTGAACCCTTATTTTTTTCAAGCTCGAATTTGGTACTTAGTACCATAATATGCTTTTATGAAACCATTAATGTGCATTTACAAGTTACCAAAGCCTTGCCTAACTTATAAAACTTGGTTTCTGAATCAACCTGATCTCCTGAATATTCCAAAGAAGTATATCATCCTAAATATCTTTTCCTGACAAAAGTTTCCTTGTGATTAATCTTATGCAAAATCTGAAAGATAGTTTGTTATATAAGTTGGAAAAGTGAGACTTGTCCCATGTCGGTGGTGCATGGCGTGCCTTTTAAGTCCTTGTCTTTTTATACATTTAATTTAGAACACATCCTCTTATATGTGTGCAAATATATATATGTTATATATTATATATATTGATATCAAAGACTTGGACTTGCACAAGATTATTTTTTATTTATTTCTATAATTAAATCCGTTTTATTTGAAATTTAAATTTTAAGTTTATTTGAATAAACAGATGCGTTTGTTTGTGAAAGAACACATCCTTTTTTGAAAAGGCCCGATGGTTGCCCTATAAATAAAAGTTCTTCCAACAAAGTGGATATAGAAAAATCTGCAAGTATATTCTTAGCTTGTTGTATCCTGAAGAAGATTGTTTGTATTTTCCCAATTTGTATACGGGCAATATCTTCTTTAAGGAAAGTCGTTCTCACGCCTCAAGCCTTCTTCAATTTCGTTTCGATTATTACTTTTCTAACAAAATCATGAGTTACCACCACTTATTTAGTTATTATTAAATTACAAATTAATAATTCTAGTTTTTGTACACAACATCATTTATGTTATATGCACCGATAGTATAAAGATTATTTACTGCTCTATTTTTATTTTTTCTCATGCCGAGGGTCTATGGGAAACAACTGTTAGTAAACTGTATCTGTAAACTACTTCTGGAAAAGATAGAATAACATATAAACAGAAAATGTAAACTAAACAAAAGTTAATCCGAGCTCACTGAATTCACAGTGTTTCCTTAAGGAATTCAATCTCCTCCTAGTACCCAAGGTTATGGATTATTTCTCCCAGGATAGAACGAATTACACACTGGTGTAGTGGTACTTCAAAGCCCAGTGTTTCAGTGAACATAAAGTTCGGTAGCAAATCACACTTACTGTTGCTTTCTTTGAAGTTAAAAGTATGCAGAAGAAAGGAGGAGAACTCAGAAAATTGTATGAAAAATCTGAGAGAATGGACTTGTATTTATAGCCAATGTTGAGCTGAAAACTGAAGAGGTGCAACTCTTCAGAATGGCTGTTTATGTAAAATGGCCATAGCATAAATGTCATAACATAAATGGCTAATTTATGCAATAATAAACCGGGAATTGAAGAGGGAGGTTAATTTTCAGTTACACAACTGAAAAACTGAAAACGAATAACGGAAAAAAACATTTAATATTCCGTTGGATTTAATATTAATGTTCTGTTATCAAAACGGATATTTAATAATATTTCTGTTAATATTTACTATTAACAAATAAATTTGGTCCAAAAAAATTAATCAATCAATCAATCATTTGACCAAATCCGAATCCGAATCTGAATCCGAAGCCAAAGCCGAAGCCGAAGCCGAGCCAAGTGAGCGACGACGACGACGGCGCGAGGCTTGCCTTCTTCTCAACTCTTTAAGAGCTAGAAGAAGAGCAATTGCTTATATACCCATCAAAAACCTCTTCCTCTTTCAATATGGGACAATGTCCCTTTGTCAAGGGGGAAAAACTTAAAATTTTATTTTCCTCCATTTCTCATTCACCCTCTTTTAAGTCATATTAATGCTTACAAACTCAACAATCCCCCACATGAATGGGGAATGTCTTTATCACAGAAATATGCATGAAAAACTATGTGATTCGCAAGCAAGGATTAATTGCATCTGGATAAGTAGGTTTCCCTTTGAAATTCCGTAGTGAACTTATGTCGGATATACTTGGTCAATCGGTAGATTTGATATCTTTGAACCGTCAAACTTTAGTGTATACCTAGATAACCATATGTCACACAATCAACCCTTAACCGTCTTTGGTTCTCATGGTGGTGTTCGTTTCAGCCATGAACACCGCCTGGTTTCATAAGTGCGTAGAGAACTGGCCTTCAAAAATT